GACCTGCTTTTCGTTGTTTCCAAGTCTGCGTCAAAAGCTGACACTTAACCTGGCCGAACCCGTGCCCCTCAGCCCCTCCTTCCAGCTCCTCCAGTCGGCCTCACCGCCGGCCCCTCTCGGTGTCAGGAACTCAACCACGGCTTCCCGGAGGGGTGCTCCTCTGTGATGGGAACTTCGCGAGTCCACGCCTGACCTCTCCCTGGCGGAGAAGGGCTCTGGCTGTCCTCTGGCTCCCTGGTCGGAGGGGCGTGGGCACTCCTTGCCTGGTGCTCTAGCGTCTCTCTTCCCAGTCTCATAGTGAACATCTGCCTCTTCGTCCTTGCCATTCTCTGCTAGACCAGAAGATGTGCGTCTAGCCCCCAGACAGATGTGGCACTGACAGAAAACATCTGTATCTGGTCAGAGCTCAAGGAAGGCCATCTTGGCACCTTCGGCCAGCTCAAGAACAGAGGTTCTTAAATGGGGGCCCAAGCCCCGGCTCACGGTATTTGCAAAATATAGTGTGTGGGGGCACCGCGCAGACTCTTTCCCAGGTTTCAAAGGATAGCCCTCATCCAGCCTGTAAGAGGCTGTTTTGAGGGTGTGAGACTATGAGGGTCTGTGAGGGTGTGTATGGTCCTGGAGGACAGTTTGGGGGGCACAGGAATGGCATACTCTGGTCCCTCAAAGTCCCCGGGGTCCCTGGGGAGGTGAGAATTCCACCAGATGTGCTTCCAAGAGCAGCTCAACCTCAGGGGATAGACAGAGTGTTTGCTGGGTCCATCCCCCAGCTGTGGCTGAGTCAGCTTGGGAGAGTGGGGGTGAATAGGGGGAGTCTGGGCTAAGTCAGAGAGGAATTGGTTAGAAACTGTTTGGGACTGGAGACAGTGACGGTGAGAACATCCCCACAGCAGCCTGGCTGGGTGGGCCGCAGGGACTCTCTCCTGAGCTACCAAAAGAGCAACCAGAGAACCCCCCCCAAGACCCTGGCCACCTCCTCTTTCCCTTCATGGTGGGGTGCTTGGTTGCCAGGACAGCCAAGGGTCTGAGATTCCATCTCTCACCCCACCTCAATGCCACCCAGACCAAGGCAGGGCAGGGGTTCCGTGGAGGGGCCTGGGGGTACAGCTGTCTGCCCGTGTCTGGGTGGGGGCTGGGGGGAGTGAGCACAGTCGCAGCTGGTGCCAGCCTCCAGCTGCACCTTATCTGTCCCTGGCAGTGGGAGCGCCAATGTGGCTGGAATGCTGAGCAGCACCGAGGGGAGGGGGCTGGCAGATGGTTGCCTGGTCTGCCCTGGGCCACTCCCTCCTCCAGCTGAGTCCCAGAGCCTCTGGGGGGGAGCGCGGGGGGAACAGAGAGGCAGAATTCATTTCTGGACCCTGGAAAACAAGGACGGGAGGGCAGAGACTGAAAATCCCAGGGGTGGGTGTGGGATGGGGATAGTATTCTCCCTCACAAGGGGAGGGAGTTGGGGGATCAGGGGCGGGGACACAGAAATCCCCCGAGGGGCCCACTGGAGTCCTCCAGGACTCTGGAGAGGAGTGGTGGCCACAGAAACCCCCCCGAGGTTCTGGAGGAGGATGGAAATCTTCTGGAGCACTTTTGGGGGTGAGATGCTGATTTAAGAGATGGGTGTGGGTGGGAGATTCTGGCACCCAGAGGGGAAAGAGAGGTCATCTTAAAGCAAACAGAGCCGGATGGCATGTCCCAGGGAGCTAGGACCAGCAGGGAGCTGTGTTTTCCCCAGGGTCAGCTCTGCCCTTTCACTGACAACCCTCACACCCCCCACCCCCACCCCAGAGCAGCTCAGACCAGGGGTCCCTTGGGGGGTCTGTTCCCTCCAGCCAGGTAGGGAGTGGCAGGGCCCTGAGGGGAAAGACTGCTGCACGGAGAGAGGAGAGTGGGCCGTGGGCGCCCCCTTCATGGGTGAAGGAGGGCTCTGACCAGGGAGCGCGCATGGATTGCAGAAGGACAGGACAGCCCAGAGTGAAGAGTTAACTTTGACCTAGCGGTCCTTAGATACTTCCTCCGGCCTTACCCTGCCCTTCTCTCCTTTCCCTTGTAGAGCCAGTTGCAAGAATCCAGGGTACCCTGGGTTGGGCTCTCTCTCTCTGCCTTTCCCCCTCTGTCCTACATTTATATACCCCCACACACCCTCCTGCTGACTTAGTTTCCTTTCTCACCTCCTCCCTCTCCTGTCCCTTCTGACTCCACCCCTATCCCAGACTACAGTCAGCTAAGAGGCTACTCTAAGTTAATTGATCTCCTGGCTGTTGGCTAAAGTAATAGGACATTGATGTAAGTAACTAAGTGCCTCAGGGGGCAGAGCAGGGCGTTGCGGGTGGGGAGGAGGAGCACCTCTGAGCTTTGGGCCTTCGTCCTGCTCCAGCCTTTGGGCAACTGGAAGGTGCTGCCCTTCTGCACCTGGTGTGCCTCCAGGAAGTGGAGGGGAGGCCTGCAGAGAGGTGGGTGGTTCTGCTGTGGAAGTCGTCTCTGAGCATGCTTCACCTTTGTGGAAGGCAGTTTCAATCCTGGGGGGATGGCAAGGGAGGCTGAATATTACACAGAAGGTGTGTCGGTCTCCACTTGATTTACTCCTGGGACAGAGCCCCTTCTAAGTGCCAGGCCCACGCTGGGTGCCACAGTGGGTGGTGAACAGGAAGGCCCTGGCCGTCCTCGGGGAGCTGAGAGCGAAGCGCAGTGCCCTGGCAAGCTCAGAGCCGAGAGGGTGGGCGGCGCTCGCAGAAGCCTTGGGAGCACAGAGTGACGTGCTGGGATGAGAGGAGCCTCGACATCTCGTGCAGTCCTTCCCATCTTCCCAGCCCAGCTCAGCTATTCAGAAACAGCAGTTCAACAGAACGTGTGGTTTCTCCCCCAGCACGTGACCAGTCCAGTCCTCTCCAGCAAGGGTCATCCCTTTGGCCAGTGTCCCTCACTGTATGTCTGAGGGGGCTGCTCCAGGGCCTCTACCCTCTGGCTGAGAACCGTTCAGTCAGGAACCCTTGCGTGGGGATCCTGGGAGGCAAAACTGGGAAGGAGACTGAAAGAATGAGAAGTGGTGCCTAGTTCGGTTGGAGGATGAGGCTGGGTGTTGGCACTCCTGGGTTCTATTTTGGGCCTCGTTTCATCTGCTCCATTTCTGAGCTTCCAGGTCCAATTTTCTGGGAAGAAAGGGGGCTCTCTGTGGACTGTTAAATTATTCTTTGGCAAGGGGCAGCCTCTCCATCAGCCTCGGGGACCGTCTAGGCCCACGCCGGCCCATGTGTAAAACGCATGTGCCGTACTGACCGTCCTGCACATGGGCAGCAGAATCTTCCTCACAGAACAATTTTAAATGAGTGTGGCTCTGCTGTATATTCACCTTAAGGGGAAGTTCTTTTAGGGAAGCGTGAGGACTGAGATCCTGCCGCCCTGGGCTCTCCAAGGCCATTCATGAAGTGAAAGAAGGGCAAGTCGTGATTGTTCCAGGCTCCTAGGAGTTTGTGGAGAGAAAACCCTGCCCCGCCCCTCTTGTCTGCATCCCCTCCATGCGTGTGGCAGTCCTGGGGGCCTGCGACGTTGGGCTGTGTGGCTCAGCGGGCGTGTGTCCCTGACTGGTGTGTCGCATCGTCGTGCCAAGGCTAGGAACATCCCTTGGGGAGAGACTGCTGCACCGGCCTTGACCATGGACAGCACCCAACTCAGACTCCCTCATGACACGCTCACTGCATGTGTGCCCCAAGCTGCAAGCATGCATGCCCCTCCGAGTGCATGTCTGAGAGTGGGGGGAAGTGAATGTAGATGAGGGGGGAGTGGAGGTGCACAGGGCGTTGCGGCTCGCTTCGTGTGGCGGTGAGAGACAGCTTGAGTGCAGGCAAGCCTCCGGCCGCATGCAGAGCACATACCGGGGAAATTAATCCTTCCTTTCAGTCTCACTTTGCAACGCACAAATTCCTTTTCCTTTAACTGGTGTGATTCTCATAATTCTGGGAGAAAGGGAAGATGTTAATATTTTCACTGGAAAGATGAGCATAGTGAGGCTCAGAAGCGTTAGGTGACTTGCCTGAGGTCACACAACCAGTAGATGACAGAGTAGAACCTTGACTTCAGATCGTCTAGGTCCAGGTTCTTTGTGCCTGATGATAGGAGCGAGAGTGAGGTGTGTGGTGATGAAGGGTGTTCTGGGCTCCCCACCTTCCCACACTGTGTAAAGGTGCAGTGCGGTGAGGCAGGAAGGGGAGAAAGGATGTAGAGGAGAAGGAACCCCAGCCTCAGGTTGAATATGCCAAGTCTCCTGACTGCTCTGCCTGTTTGCTGCGCCATTTGGCCAAGCCCAGCCTTAGATGAACTTACCACTACTTTCCCTGGGGTGGTTTCAGGACGGCCCAGCTCTGCCAGAGAAAGTCACACAACAGACCAGCTTGGAATCGCACTGCCTTCATGACCAACAACCTTAAATGGGCCCGCAGTACTGCCCGGCCACCACACTGAGTTTTCCCAGTCAACTTGCTGTCCTCAGTGGTCACTGCAAACTGCTCTGCTCTTCTCAAAGATCCACCCTTCCAGCCCCTTTCTCACCCTCAGCAGATAACTTTGGCTCTTGCTACACGGAGAAGACAGGAGCCTTAGACAAGGTCTTCTACTTCCTCTGGGGACCAAGAGGGGGTGGCATCCATCTTATCTAGGCTGAAATCTCCATCCCTTCTTTCCATCTGATCTCCTTCTACCTTTGTAGGACTTTTACCCGAAAGACCCTGCCTCTCCCTCCTCTACAGTCAGTCTCCTTCTCTGGTAGAACCTTCCTATTGGCACTGAAACATGCTTAAGATTCTCCCATCCTGGATCACGTGGCTATCACAACAGCTAACACTTAGCAAGCACTTACTATGCATCAAGCTTTAGGTTAAGATAAAAACCAAAATACAAATGTCTGAATTCCACAGTCCCTCCCAACTCCCCCACACACGATGTCTCTCTTCCTTTTACAGACAAAATTGTTAAAAGGGATGTATATATTCCACTGTATTCATTTTCTCTTTGTTTAAAAAGACTTTTTTTTTTTAATTTTAGAGAGAGGAAAGGAAGGAGAAAGAAAGGGAGAAAGAAAGAGAAGCATGTGTGATCAGTTGCACACCCCCAGCTGGAGACCCGGCCCACAACCCAGGCATGTGACCTGCCAGGGAACTGAACTGGTGACCTTTCAGTCCACAGGCTGGTGCTCAATCCACTGAGCCACACCAACCAGGGCTACTTTTTCATCTTGAACTAACTCTAATCCACGCAGGATGCCTTTTCCCCATCCCCAGCACTCCACCAGAATGGTTCTAGCTAAGTGACCCTCAGTGCCAAACCCTACACATGTATTTTTATCCCCAATCACCCAATAACACTCAAAATAGTGCACCACTGCCTCTTTTTTCAACTCTCTTCTTTCCTGGTGACCATACTCTCTCAGTTTTCCTCCTTTATCTAGCCACTCCTTCTCCGTCTCTTTGCCAGTTTATTCTCTTCTATTTGATCATTAAGTGTTGGCACTACTCAAGTCTCAACCCAGAGCCTTCTGCTTCTTTTAAATCATGAGGGGTATGATTGAATGGTATAACTCGATGAATTTTTCATTAGTATTTTTTTGTGTTCTTGTAGCTTACAATTTAATATTTCATATATTACACTGGTATGTATTTATATTGGTGTAAATGTGTAAAACATTTCTGGGACCTCAGTAAGTCCCTCCAGACCCCTTCCTAGTGAATACCACCACATAAAAATTAACCATTATTCTAGCTTCTGTAAGTATAGAGAAGTTTCACTTGCCCTTGAAATTCCTAAAGTATATGTACCCTCCATACAGTATATTCACTTTGTTGTGGTTTTTTTCTTATAATTATTTCTGTGACATTTAGTCTCATTATCATATGTTGCAGTAGTTAGTTCTTTTTCAGTGCTGTGCAGTATCTCATTATATAAATATACCATAATTTATTTATTCTTTCTACTAGACACTGTAGTTGTTGCTAGTTTGGGGCTACTATCGATAAACCTACTATGTACATTCTTGTTCATTCTCAGTTGACATGTGCACTCATTTCTTTCAGGTGTATAACTAAGCTGTTGTTAAGTCATAGGTCAGGATTCTGCTTAGCTTTAGTAGATATTACAGTATCAGGCATTTTCTCTATCTTTCTTCTTAACTTTCTATTCTGCTCTGGGGTGTGCGCATCTTCACTCGGGGCTGCAGTTCCCACCCACACTGACCACCGCCAAACGTGCGTTTCAGCCCAGCCCTCTCCTCTCAGCATCAGTCCCAGTGGCCAGTTTCCTTCTTAACATCTCCATTTGGATGTCCCCAGGGCTCCAAGAACCAGCATGTGCAAAGCCAAATTCATTGTCTTAAGCTTCCAAAGTCATCCTTTACTTGTGTTTCTGATCTAAAGAGCCATCCCATCATTCACTCACCTATGCAAACCAGAAGCCATCCCTGGTACTCCATCACCCTCACCTCCCTGAACAGAATCTGTCACTGTTGCTTCCTAAACATCTCCACTCTGCCACTGTGTTCCAAGCCACCCCACCACTCCATCCCTTACCTGAACTTGGCTTTCTAACAGGTCTTCTAGCGATCCCTCTGATTCTCCCTGAGTGGTCTCTTCAAACCATTTGAAATCCTTCCACAGGGAGTCTGTCATTGTCTTTGGACCAGAATCCTTGCTAGCGGCCTTCAAGGCCTGAGGGGTCTGGGTCCTGCCAGCTTTTCCAGCCTGTGTTTATCCTGCCACATCCCTCCTCCAGGAGCTCTCTCCGCTCAGGGCCTCGGCAGACTCCGCCCTCTGTAATACCCTCCCCACACACACATACACGCAGACCTCTACCTAATGACTCCTTTTCTTCAGATTGCAGTTCAAACATCTCTTCTTTCCTGATTACCCAGTCTGGGTCAGATTCCCTATTATTCACCCACAACAAAAACCATAGTTTCTTTATAATACTTACAATGGTTGTAACTAAATATTTATTTTTACAATTTTTAAAAAAAGCTGATGTCTGTCTTCCCCATTAGACAGCAAGTTCCATGCAGGCAGGACCCTGGTCCTTTATCTGTTCTCCCTGTGTCCTTAGCACACAGACACTCAGGAAATTGAAGAGGAAAGGGATTTAGAGAAGAATAACTTAATTCTGGTCTCAGGCCCACGACACGCTCTCCATGAGACTCGAAGAGGCCACTATGCTTCAGTTCCCTCCTTTGCCAGATGAGGATGAAGTTACTCAACCTGCTTGTCTCACTGTACTGTGTAAGGGTCCCATAAGATATCATTTGAAAACATTCCACAATAGTGAGCAGTGGTTGGAGTGCGGAGAGAGATGTAGAGAAAGGCAGAAACCCCGAGGTGACCACACACAGCTGAGAAGTGCAGGCTGGGAAGTGCCGTGGGCAAGGGTGGCTTCCTTGGACAGAGCGTTCCAGACTGAGTTGTTCTGCATGGGGGTCCACTAGGGCACGCCTTCTGAGGTCTCCGTGTGTGCTCGAGGGTCTGTGTGTGTGCTGCCTGCCCCTACCCTTCATTTCTGGAAAACTGGATTTGTTGACTCGAAGGAGCCAAGGCAGGAGAGCATATTAGAGATGGACAAGGGAGTGTGGTTAGGGTGTGTGCTGTGTTTGCTGCCCACAAGAGGGCTGTCTGTCGAGATGTGTAGGTGTGCGGCGTGGGTCTTTGTATTGGTGTGGGGAGGAGGTGTCCGGTCATACCAGATTTGCTGTCCTCAATTGTGAGGCCCCCACAGTGGACGCTTCCTCTGCCTTAGTTTCTTCCGTTTGGGAGTCCAATCTACTTCCCCTGCCAGGAAGTCGGGAGGAGGCGGACAGTGCCCTCTAGTGGGTTCGCGGAGCAAAGGCAGCTGTAGCTTCCCCAGCCCAGCCTTAACCTAGGTTGGCCCCACCCCCAACCTGGGTCTGGAACTCACCTCTGAAACACATCCTGAGAACGTGCGAAGCTGACAGCTGAGGTCCTGAAGGCAGGGTGAAAATGCACAAGGGACATGAAACAGGAAGGAAAACCGTGAATTTATATAGGAAAGGCACGAGGACAACAGCTGAATGTGAGGGTCTCTCTCTCCTCTCATCTCCTTATCTCTGGTTGCCCAGGGTACTCCTGGTCTTCCTCAGTTCCTGTTTCTGCACTTGGTCCCTGGGTCCTGCTCATTCATTCTCATAGTCCTTGTCCTCAAGGAGCTACGGGGCACTACTCATCCCTGGAGGGCCTTGAGCAAAACTGGACCTTTTAGCATGCTTCATGGGGGTGGGGGAGCCACTAACTATGCCCTGTGAAGTCAAGGGAGGCTTCTTGGAGGAGGTAATGTATGAATTTGGTCTTGAAAAATGACTAGAAGTTCTCCAGATGGAGTCCAGGGAAGGCATGAAACTATGGACAAGCCTAGTATGTCTGCAAAATAGGAGAAGGGCATGGTGGCTGGACAGTGGACTGGGGTGAAGGAGAGGTGAGGCTGGAAGATAAATTGCAAAGGCCTATGGGGTTGGGGTTGAATTTTACCAAGAGGCGCTGGGGAGTGAGAGAAGGTCTTTAAGCCAGAGAATGATCAGAATTACATAGCATGGGGGAGAAAATGCAGGGATGGGGGCTGTTGTTCAGGCAAAAGAGGAGGAGGCCAGCCTGAGGCATCAATGGCATAAGGGTGGAGAGGGGCCAGATCTCAAAGGCTTCTCTTCTCTGGGGCCTCAGTGTCCCTGGCAGCAAAACTGAGGCCAAAGGTCCCATATCAGTCAGTTCTGCTGGAACTTGGCACCCTGCCTTCCTTGCTCAACATGTTCCAGGGTCTTTGCATGCAAACGGAGAAGAAAAGATGTGTGGGAGGAGGAGGGGAGAGGATGAGAGGGAGGGGAACAGGACCCGGGGCTGTGGGATGGGTAGGGGTTGGTAAGGCCCCAGTAGGCTCATCTGACCCCTGCTGCTCCTCCCCTGGCCCCGCAGAGGAAGGGTTAATGCGCTTCGCCTGCCTCCCTCCCTCGCTCAGGTCACCTTCTAGGCCCTGGAGACTTGGCTGCTGGCTCAAGTTCCTCAACCAGTGGCCCTGAGTAATCAGAGCCCGCAGCGGGGCCGGGGGGCCTGGGGGAAGGGAATGAGAAACTGGGGACACGGGGAGCCTGAGAGACTGAGGGGCTGGAGGCATCTGTGAGGCTGAGGGTTTTGGGGGGCACGCAGGTTGGTTCCCAACACTCTCCACCTGACCCAGGACCCAGTCTGTTCCGATCTCAGTTTCTTCCACCCACCAGAAGAAAATTCCTCAAACTCCTCTGCTGCACTGTTAGGGGTGGGCAAGCGGGGATGGGGAGCGGGGATCTGTCAGGAAGCTTTTCTGCTGCAAGAGATGGGGTTCCCCCCACCCCGTGCCGGGAACTGGCCATAAATGAGTCTGTGGTCAGTCAGAGACCCGTGCTAATGGAACCTGGGCTGCCCCCCAAGCCACAGAAGGGAATGGAAGAGGGGAAGGTGACCTAAGTACAGCTCAGCATGGGGGAGGGTGCCGACTTGAAGCAGAGGTGGGGTCAGGGGAGTGAGGAGAGGAGAAATGGGGTCAGGGACTGGCTGGAGGGAAACTGGAAGTCAAAGGAGTGTGACTGCAGGAGAATTAGGGGTTCAGGAAGTAACCGAAAGTAAATTGGGGCCAGGATAGTGATTGAAAGGAAACTGAGAATCAAAGGAATAATTAGAAGAGAACAGGTTATAAGAGAGTATTGGGAGAGTTGGGGAGTCAAGAAAATAACTGGGGCATTTTGAGTGGGGGACTGGAGAGGAGTCAGAGGTGTGAGTGCCCAGAGGGCCTGCGGGCATAGACATGTCAGGGGCAGGGCCAGGCGGGGATGAGGGAGGGACCCTGAACTGGGCTGGGAAGGCTGAGGGCAAGCTGAGGAATAGATCAGAGAGGAGCTTGAGTGTGTGTGTGTGTGTGTGTGTGTGTGTGTGTGTGTGTGTGATGGGGGAGGAGCAGGACTGTTGCTGGCCTGGCAGAGGGAGCAAAGGATTCTGTTAGGTCCCATCTTACTTGGAGAGGTGGGTACCAGAAGCTGGAGCTGGTGGCAAAAAAGGGGTGCTAACCCCCTCCTCTCTATCGGCCTCCCTTTCCCACTGATGCATCAATTATTCATCAGCCCAGATAGCTGCCCTCCCTAGCAGGCAGGCTGGTCCTCCTCTCCACGCCCCGCCCACCTCAGCCACACTGCCACAGAGGCCCTGGTGAGGAAGGACACGGCCAGCCAGCTGGTGGCAGAGACCTGGCAGAGGGCTGGGTGGCTGGCCCCACCAGACCCTGCCTGGGATCTCGTCTCCTTCCCCTTTCTCCTGCTGATCCACTGGTGCCAGGAAGCCCCTGGAGAAGATGCCAATCCAGATCTTCTGCTCTGTGTCATTCTCCTCTGGAAAGGAGGCCCCAGGGCCTTTGGGAGATGTTTGGGGTCCCCACCAGCGGCAGCAGCGAGACAGCTCAGAATCGGAAGAGGAGGAAGAAGAGAAGGAAAACGAGGCAGCTAGGAAGGAGGCCAGAGAGGGGGATTTCCCTGTGGACTTGGTGGCCTTCGCCAACAGCTGCACCCTCCACGGCGCCAGCCACATCTTCGTGGAAGAGGGTCCAGGGCTGAGGCAGGCTCTGTGGGCAGTGGCCTTTGTCCTAGCACTGGGTGCCTTCCTGTGCCAGGTAGGAGACCGCGTTGCCTATTACCTCAGCTACCCGCACGTGACTCTGCTGGACGAGGTGGCCACCACTGAGCTGGCCTTCCCAGCGGTCACCTTCTGCAACACCAACACTGTGCGGCTGTCTCAGCTCAGCTACCCTGACTTGCTCTACCTGGCCCCCATGCTGGGGCTGGATGAAAGTGATGACCCCGGGGTGCCCCTTGCCCCCCCAGGGCCAGAAGCCTTCTCTGGGGAGCCCTTTAACCTGCACCGCTTCTACAATCGTTCCTGCCACCAGCTGGAGGACATGCTGCTCTACTGCTCCTACTGTGGGGGGCCCTGCGGCCCTCACAACTTCTCAGTGGTGAGTGGGGGCCCATGTCTGGCATGGCACCCCGAGAGTGTCTGCCATGACTCACCCCGACCATCACTTTCTGGGGCTGGCAGGGCCTGCTCCCCCATCCCCAACCTTACCTGAACTACATACCCTCCCTGTCGTGTCTAGAAAGGCCTGGCCACGGCTTCCCGGGGAGCCCCAGGGTCTGGAGCTGGGCTGTTATTCCCAGCACTGTCCTTCCTGTTAAAATTGTGAAAAATGTCTGTGCTAGTTCATAACTAGTTGCTTCCCAGGGGCCCCTGGTGTCTCCCTGAATACCCCCAAGCATGTCCAAACCTGCCTGTGATTCGGCTGTACCTTGAACCTTACTCCATCTGAGGTCAACCTCTGACCTGCTGGTGGCTGCCTGTGCCTGGACTGGAGCTGGGGCAGGTGCCACAGGTTTCTAGAAGTGCCGGAGGAGAGTGTAGGAGGGAGGTGGAGGGGCGGGGACAGCCCTCGTCTCCATTGCCACCCCCTCGTCAGCAGCTGCCACTTCACTGCCCCCTCCCACGATCTTCCCGTGCTCCTCCTGCAGTGCATGTGCACGTGTGAGTGCCCCTGAGGGAGAATACCACGCCTCTCTAAACCCCTCCCACTGCCCCCCTCCACCCCAGCTCTAAGTGGCCAGGGACCCTCTTCCCTGGGAAGCCCTTGCTGGGAGTCAACCTCCTGCATGCCTTGCCACTCCAGAGTCTAAGGCCTTCCCTGCTGAGGGACCAAGTGGCACCCAATCTTTTCCCCAGTTTGGCTTCCAGTTCTGTCTGATCAGACTTCTCTCCTGCCCCTTCCAGGTGCCAGATGCCATCTTCCTTCCCCACACACCTGTCCCTCAGTCCCCAAACTCCTTCGTAGTGCAGGAGCGGTTGGGTGTCATCATATCAGTGCACTGTAGACTGACTGCAGACAGACAGTGACCAGGTGGTTTGGTCCACGGGATCTCAAACAGGCCAGGACCTACAGAAACGCCAACGAAGGGAACAGCCCAGCTTCCTCTGGGTCTGAGGGTAGAGCAGACACTTCTCACCGAGAACCACAAGATGGCAGCAGCAGCCTGCCTGCGGCGGCACAGCTCACCCCCCCCCCCCAGGGCGAGCCGGAGCTCCGGGAGCACCTCAGCCACCCGGGAGCACCTCAGCCACCCAGAGTCCTTCACACCCCCAGATTGGAGGGGCCTGTGACTACATGCCACCAAGCCCAGGAGTGGGGCTGGAGGGGATTAGGAGCTGTCAGAGTTCTCTCCCTACCTCACCTTGGGACCTCACCCTCCAAATAGGGGACAGCATATTTTCTTTTCTGTAGGGGAAAGGGAGCAAGACCTCTGTTTCCCAGTAACCCCCTCTCCCCCGGCGGCGCCAATCTGGTGTGACACTGTCTGTCTCTTTCTCTGGGCTGAGGGTGCGTGTGTACTTATCTATGACTCACTCTGTGGACTTCGTCCCCAGCAGCAGCAGTAAAACACACCCCATCTGTGGGAACCTGGAGGCATTCAGGGAAGCTGTGGAGAAAGGGTCATAAAGAATCGGTTCACTCCTTTTGGTGGTGGTACGGGCTGCTCTGGGGCATGGGGTGGGGAGGCCCTCCCACTCCCGCAGGACCACTGTCCACTGTGCGCGCTGGGGCGCTCGGTGCCCGAGGCCGAGAGGAGAGCTGTGGTGCTTGGGTGAGCAGGGGCCTTGGTATGGCACCTGGGACAATGATGGGCATAAGGCACTAATGGCTGCAGGAAACTAGAAAGTTCAACTTGGTTCGGAGGAGGGTCTTGACGAAAGAATTTCAGACGCCTGGGGTGAAATCCAGCCCTCCGGCCGTGACAGGGTCCTACTGATGGAGGTGTGCGTGTCAGGGTAACTGAAAAGAACGTAGCAGAGGGACCGCTTACCGAGCTGTGGGTAGAGTTAAGGAAACTGAAAAGGGGTCGGGAGGCACCTGGCGGCAGTGGGAGGCTGCCACACGGGCTGAAGTGGCACGGGGAGGCCGCTGGCGGGCAGGGAGCCCTCCCGCGGGACTGGCGTCCCTACGCTCTCAGAGACCGGGGTTGGGGAAAGAGAAGTGCCCACCTCTCCCTCCTTCTGCCCTGGGATCCCTGACCGATGCCTCCCGTTGGCCAGACCCAACCAGGTGCCTGTCCGGGCACCACAGAAGCACCCCACAGGGGCCCGCTTTCCAGGGCACAAAGCGGGGCAAAGAAGAGCAGAGAATGGGTGGGAAGGAAGACAAAGGGAGAAGGGACCGCCTGGGAGGAATCCATCCCGAAGGGTGTTGCGATTCCAGCAGCTGGGGGGCAGTCTGGGGCGGCCCTCGGTGGCTCCAGGGGGTGCTGGCAGGACTCTCAGGCTTTGCACTCTGCCTCTGCCAGGTCTTCACTCGATATGGAAAGTGCTACACGTTCAACTCGGGCCGAGATGGACGTCCGCTGCTGAAGACCATGAAGGGTGGGACGGGCAATGGGCTGGAGATCATGCTGGACATCCAGCAGGATGAGTACCTGCCCGTGTGGGGAGAGACCGGTACGTCCCCTCTCAGGGCCCCTCCCCTCGGTGCCAGGCCTCAACCCCTGGCAGGGGACTGCTGGGCTCCACTGTGGGACCTGAGGCAGGCCTTGGGCTCTCCTCCCTTCTTCCCAGCATCTCACCATCTCCTTCTCTGACTGTACCTGATTGTCACACTCACATATCTCTGGCCCCCCCTTCCTGGCTCAGTTACTCTCCAAGGTAACCAGCCATCCCTTTCCATCACTGGCCGCCACTTGCTCTATAAATAACCCTCTTCTTGGGCTGCCTGCTGTCTGTCTGGTCTCAGGGGCCTTGGGGCAGAGAAAGATGGGGGTGAAAAGGGAGAAAAGGAGGGGGAGAAATGGAGAGCATCTGAGACAGTGTGAGAGAATCTGAAGCACCAAGATGCAGAGCCAAAGCCAGGTAAGAAAAGAAGTGTGCAGGATACAGGGGCCATCAGGGCAGCATGGGGCTGGAGAACCCAGAAGGAAGCTCGGGGTGGGCTGAGACCCCTAAACAAATCCCCCCAGTCCTAGTGTATGCTGTGCTTATTCCCAGGAGAGGTAGGATGTTCCCAGTTCTGGAGGAGGTTAGGGAGTCAGAAGCCCTCCCGACACTCTGTCCCCCTTATTTTCACAGATGAGACATCTTTTGAAGCGGGCATCAAAGTGCAGATCCACAGTCAGGATGAACCTCCCTTCATCGACCAGCTGGGCTTCGGCGTGGCCCCAGGGTTCCAGACCTTTGTGGCCTGCCAGGAGCAGCGGGTGAGAGGGCCACCGGAGGACGGTTCGGGGTGGGGTCAGGATGGAGTGGTGGGCAATCGCTCATGAGAGGGACAGATAAGCAAGGGCCTGGGTAGTGACTTTACTAGTAAGAAGCACGAATGAGCTTTAAAAATGGGGATGCTTTCTAAACTCTGAGACCTTCAGAGGCTGCAGAGGGAGAGGGGACAGGACTCCTGAGTTCAGCATCTTGTCAAAGAAGTCCATCAAGGTGACTCGGGAAGAAGTCCCCACACCCCCCAGCTCCCCGGCTCTCCCAGCAGCTCATCTACCTGCCCCCGCCCTGGGGTACCTGCAAAGCTGTTACCATGGACTCGGATTTCTTCGAATCCTACAGCATTACTGCCTGCCGCATCGACTGTGAGACCCGCTACCTGGTAGAGAATTGTAACTGCCGCATGGTGCACATGCCAGGTCAGGCCCCCGAAGCTCCAAAGACAGTCCTGGGGCCCCTCAGCCTGCACTGCCCCTCGCCAGCTCCCCAGGCCTATCAACCTCCCCCAACATGGAAATGAGACCAGCTGGCTTCTCCCTGCCCCAATTCCAGCCCCATTCCATTCCCATGTGTCTCTGACCTCAATTCCTGCCTGTGCCCATAGGGATGGATGGGAAAGGTCCAGAAGGGATGGATCACGTCCAAGACAGATTGGGAACCAGCTAGTCCTACCTTCTCCTACTCTCCTGGCTTCTCTCTGGACCTTTGTTACAACCACTGTCACAAGAGCCCTTTAATCTCCATCCTGCACCACTGTCTTCTCTCCTCTGTAGGGGATGCCCCGTACTGCACTCCAGAGCAGTACAAGGAGTGTGCGGATCCAGCTTTGGGTGAGCGCCCCTGTCCTGGAGCCGTCTGCGGTGGGGTGGGGGATGGCCTGCCAGCCACATGCACAGGGGTTTCATACCAAGCTCCAAGAAGTTTCAAATAACTCCTGAATCAGGCTTTACCTGAACTCTCCTGTGCCTGACTTTAGCAAGGTTGGGAATAACATCTCTAGAGGCCCCTGTGAAAAATGGGCAGGGGCCACCTGGGAGGGGCCCTCACCCTCTCTCCTCAGCACCTGAGCTGGTTGACTCCCCAGGACTTTGAGGGAAGGAGATAGAGGACCAGGACATACCCATGGGGAGACTAACACAGAGTGGGCTTAGGGCTGAGGCGAAGGACAAGTCTGAAAAAGAGAAGGGGGCCCAAGGTTCCTTTGGGCAAGGCCAAAATGTGCGTGTTGGGAAGGTGCTGACAGACGGGCACCACTCAACTGGCGCCTCTTGCCTGGCCGGGCACAGACTTCCTGGTGGAGAAGGATCAGGAGTACTGTGTGTGTGAAATGCCCTGCAATCTGACCCGCTATGGCAAGGAGCTGTCCATGGTCAAGATCCCCAGCAAGGCATCAGCCAAGTACCTGGCCAAGAAGTTCAACAAGTCTGAGCAGTACATAGGGTAAGGGCTTGACAGTGAAGGGAGGGCCCACTGGGCTGGGACTGTGAGGGGAGTCAGCAGGCTTCCATGGGAGCCAGCAGATGGGAGGAAGCTGAATCTAGGGGGGCATGGAGGAAAGATCAAGGCTAAACAAGCAGGGGAAGTGCCTCGTTCTCTTTCCTCCTCCCTCACCCTCTGTCTTCATCCTCCTTGCTGTAACTGGGATCGCCTCACACTTGCTAGTGTGTGGACTGTCTTTTGTATATGCCATCACATTTAATCCTCTCAACAACCCTAAAAGGCAGGTACCCCCATCAGCATCTCATTTGATGGACACGGAGACTGAGATTCAGAGAGGATAACTTACTCAGGTCACCTGACTAGTAAGGGACAGAGATGTGACTTGAACCTAGGTCTCCTCCCCAACCCCTTTGCAGGGAGAACATCCTGGTGCTGGACATTTTCTTTGAAGTCCTCAACTATGAGACCATTGAGCAGAAGAAGGCCTATGAGATTGCAGGGCTCCTGGGTGAGCTGCTGATGGCACCTGTCCCCTTCCCGTGTCATGGGCATGGTGTGATACCCTACCACCCAAAGCAAGCTGCTCACTGCTGTCCCATGAGCTCTTCCTCCTCAGCCACCCCCGGGGACCTTTCCCCAAATTCTGCTGTCTTGGTATGTGGTGGAGGGAGGGAGTAGAGCCTTCTCTTAAAGGCAAAGTGGAAGAGATAGGCCTGTGGGCATGAATGGAGGACTATTGCATATGCCCTTGAAAGTTTGTCTAGAGAGTGAGTGTTGGGCTATTTCATATACAATTTTTTAAATACCTATTGATTGTAGAAAATAGAAAAAACACAAAAGCATGGAGAAGAAAATAAAGACCCTATCAGGATCACTTTGCCCTCCTTCCGTAGAAAGGCGGTGGATCTTTCACAATTACAACTGGCCTGCCTCTGTCCCAGTGGACTCTGTGGCTCCCATGGTGTCTTGACCCTACTGACCTCCTTGTGTCCCCCTGCAGGTGACATTGGGGGCCAGATGGGGCTGTTCATTGGGGCCAGCATTCTCACAGTGCTGGAACTCTTTGACTACGCCTACGAGGTAAGTGGGGGCGGGGCGCTAGGGTGGGGCCGTGGAAGCGGGGTTGGGGTCGGTGGTGTATCAGGCGGCCTGCAAGCCCACCCACCACCCGACGTGTCCCAGGTCATTAAGCACAAGTTGTGCAGACGAGGGAAGTGCCAGAAGGAGGCCAAAAGGAGCAGCGCAGACAAGGGTGTGGCCCTCAGCCTGGATGACGTCAAGAGACACGTGAGGAGCGATAGAGGGGTGCCCTCCGGACCCCGCCCCTACCCTCACCACCCCTGGACCACGCCCCTTGCCACCTTTACTCCTTTGCCGTCCCCATGCCCTAACGACACCTGTCAGTAACCAGTCTCTGTCTTGTGCCACTCCCTCAGAACCCCTGTGAGAGCTTGCGGGGCCACCCTGCCGGGATGACGTATGCTGCCAACATCCTACCTCACCATCCGGCCCGAGGCACTTTTGAGGACTTTACCTGCTGAGCCCTGCAGGCCACTGTACCAAAGGCCTAGATGGGGAGAGCTAGGAGAGTAAGGGGGCCCCCAGCTGCCCCCTACATCTGCCCTGGGGAACCACTCACCCCTCCCAAGGCAGCCCCATTTCTGGGCAGTCCTTTCCTCTTGACTGTGGTGAGGAAGGAGTCTTGACCATAGAGTCCTCTCCCTGTCTCTATACCATTCTTTTTATTTTTAACAAAACTAATCTAAAAAAAAAACTAAAAAGAGAGAACTGGGCAAGTGACCTCAGGCTACCCCTCTCTGCTCCATGCTGCCTCCCCTGGCTCCCAGCCTGAATTCTATGTCCGGCTGTCTGTCTGGCTGTCTGTCATCTGAGTGTCCACCTGCATTTTGCTGCCACCAGTCACCAAAGCCCCTCCTAGTGGTGGTGGGGTGGGGGAGGGGATCCTCCAGATCCGTAATTTGGCCCCAAACCAGAGAATGTACCCTGAAGGGGAGGGATAGTGGTGGTGATGGGGGACTCCCCCAGCCTTAAGAGACACTCTTAGCCCAGTGACCACTCCCCAGCCCCAAGTCTCTAGGCAGGAACTAAGACTCTAGCCTCCTCCTCCACACGCAGCATGTGAAGTTACTAGGGAGGTGGGGGTGGGGACCCCCTGAAGAAGTGGCGATGAGGACAAAATGTGGCCCTGGTGCTGTAGGCCACATCCTGATATTCCCATCTCAGAGCTGCTGGCGAAAAATCCCCAAGAGGAAGCCTTCCTCTCCCATCCCATCCAAGATCCAGCTGGTTGGCTTCCAGCTCAGGGAGAGGGGCGCTGGTGCCTAATCTCACTGGTCCCGCTCCCAGGGGCCCCTGCAGAGGGCCACATCCATAAATTTTCTTATGGAACTGTCCCAAGTCCTCTTCCCCAACTTCATTTGCTTCTCTCAACAACCTCATCTGCATTTTCTATTTCTATGTGATATAGACTCTATATTGCTATATCTCTGTATATATATATACTCTCCCCTAACTCTGTCTGTCTCTGCCCCATCCCCTTTTGTCTCTAAGAACCATCCTCCCACCCCAAGAACCCCTTCCCATGTTTCTGCTCTCTCCCTGGTCTCTGAATGCCTTCACCTGTATAAAGAGTTGGACTCTCTCCCCTGGTGTCTGTACTGTGTACACACATCCCTCTGAGAAGCACAAGGAGACGACATGCGCATTGTAACCTTCGCACTCTCTCAGTGGCGACATAAAGGAAGCTGTGAATCACAAGCTCTGCCTCTTTTGGCCTCACCCTTTCCTTCCAAACTGGGCATCCTCTGTCCTCCCTGCAGCCTTAACATTCCCTTCCCTTCTCCACCCACCCCAATGCCTTTGTCTGGCTGCCTGTGGCCTCCCAAGGGATGGGACTGGTATAGAGAGAACCCTCACCCAAGGGATGGAGATCTGCTCTGCATATCAAGCCAAGGGCTTCAAAGACTGAGGGAACTATGGATCAGTGACTCCTGCAGGTGAAGCAGTGGGGTGCTGACTGGCAGAAGCCGCGGTCCTCAGTCAGTGGCCTTTCTCTCCTTCTAGGTGCCCAGCCCCCTTTCCTCACCTGATACCCAAGCCCAACACTTATATTTTCTGGTGAGGTACAGTTTGGTAGTGGGAGGAAAGAGAGGGGAAATTGAAAGCTATTCCTACCTTAAAGAGAAGCGAGTGAGTTAGAGGGCCTGCTGTGCCCCCTCCACCAGACAGTCCTCCCAGGCCAGGGTCCTGCTCCTTCCCAGGCCTTTAGCTATCTCTAGATCTCCAACCTCAGAACAGGACCTGTGGTAGGTCACCTGTGCATTGACCTGGAGCTGGAGAGTGAAGCTATAGGATCTTTGGGAATTCTTAGTTCCTAGTAAATAGTTCCTTAGAGAGAAGACCTCTACAGAGAGGAGCAGGAGCAAGGCCAAAGGGTGTGCATCAGCTGGAGAACAACAGTCAGGGCTATGGGTGACGCATGCCTCTGGTCTAATAAACTGGGTTTCAACCATCTCCTCTTCAGTGTTGTTCTTCTCTTATCTGAATAGTACTTAGACCTTCCCATTAAGTGCCTAGAAGTAGGCTGGGCTTAGGGCCAGAGCTTGAGCCAACAATCAGAGGAGGAATAAGGAGGCTTGGCCCTACTGGGATGAGACAGACTGGCCATCACACCGGGACTGGTCTAAACCCCTGGACAGAGAAGAGAGGGGTCAAAGGCAACAAAGATTCCAAAGAGAAGTCCTAGCACACAGGATTCTTTGGAGAGGAAGCAGGGTCAAAATTCAAAACAAACTTAAAATCTGGAAGCAGGTTAGGTTGAAAGTTAGGGAATAAGTTGCACGACATTCTAGTGAGGTAGTTACTGAGGCACTTTTACCTGTGGAACTCCGGGCTACGTACGAACCAGATCTGGATTGTAGGCTTTGGTTTTACTGCTAACCTGTTGGTTGACCTTTGCCAAGTCATTTACTCTCGGAGTTCAGCTTTCCGTTTGTAAAATGGAATAAACAGTGCGTTCTCCTCTTCAGTCCCTCGGGTTTATAGCAGTAAGAGAAGGAAACGAAAAACAAAGGGCTTTGGAAGGTTGAACGCACTGCGGCAAGATGAAGCAATTACACCATCAACCTCTTGATCAGAGCGTTGGGGGCTCGGGCGGGGCCTGGGGCTTGGGCTGCGATTCTCCTCCCAGGGCCCGTCTTCCTCCCGTCGGCCTGGGGGCGCCCGCTCACAGGGCCTCTCTATCCCAGAACTTTTCTCTATGGTTTTCCCTCACGGACCTTGAAGGCGGGAGGGCGTGGTCAACAGGACTGTTCCGCTAGTTGCCCCCTCTAGCCCACAGTCTCGCTGCCCTGAGCCTCCCGCGCCGGCCGGCCGGCCGGGCGGACAGACGGGCTTGCGGGGGGCGCGCGGGGGGCGGGGGGAGTTCCGGTTCCGGTTCTTTGTGCGGCTGCTGCAGCGGCTCCGGGGAAGATGGCGGCCCGGGCGGGTTTCCAGTCTGTGGCTCCGAGTGGCGGCGCCGGAGCCTCAGGAGGGGCGGGCGCGGCGGCTGCCCTGGGCCCGGGCGGGACTCCGGGGCCTCCTGTGCGAATGGGCCCGGCACCGGGTCAAGGGCTGTACCGCTCCCCGATGCCCGGAGCGGCCTATCCGGTGAGCGGGACAGGAGGAGGGGCGCGCGGGCAGGGGGGCGGGGCTGAGCGGGGTCCTGGGAGTGACAGCGGTGGGGAGAGAAGTAGGAGGGGCTCCTCCGTGAGGGATTCAGGCCCTAAGTGGGAGTGGGGGAGGCAGTGGGGAGGAAAGGAGGCACTTAGCATCTCCACCTGCTCCAAGGGGCATTGTTTCCGTGGGGAGTCAGGGTATAGAACCCGCGTGGATGAAGTGGGGCCAACGGTGGGCAGATGAGGACTGGAGTGCAAAAGGGCTTGGGCAGCTCTAGCGCCCAGAGGAACCAGAAGGTAGCCGGCAAATTGAGGTCAGCTTCCAAGGAGATAATAGGTGACAGTACTACCTGAGTAAATGTGGAACTAGAGATGTCCAGTGTGTCAGATACAAAATAAACTAGGGAGAATTTTAATATAATCCGATTCTTAGTTTTTTGGGCTCTATTCTCTCCTGGAACCGCGACTGGAACAGAGGAACCTATATTACCTATATTTCAAAGAGGCAGAGAGCCCTCTTCCCATTTTGCTACACTGTCCCGCCCCCCCCCCCAGTCTTGTTTCATCCAAACAACTCAAGAGTCCCCCACTTTTCCTTTCTTGGTGAGGTTAGTAGGGGGAGCCATGACATCTCTGGGTTCTCTCCCCTCTATAGAGACCAGGTATGCTGCCAGGCAGTCGAATGACACCTCAGGGACCTTCCATGGGACCCCCTGGCTATGGGGGGAACCCTTCAGTCCGACCTGGCCTGGCTCAGTCAGGGATGGACCAGTCCCGCAAAAGACCCGCGCCTCAGCAGATCCAGCAGGTCCAGCAGCAGGCGGTCCAAAATCGAAACCACAAGTAAGATGACCCTGGAGAGGAGGGATGGAGGGAGGGAGGGGGCTTGTAAGAACTCAGGTGGTGGGAGTATCTGAACCAAGAAGTGGTGGTGCCGTGTCAGCAGATGGTTTTAAGAATGCCTCATGTTGGTTGGGGGGGGGGGGGTAGAAGCAATGTCTTTGATTTGAGAGAAGGTTTGCAGTCCCTTCACATGACTATAAATGGAGGTGCTGACAGCCTGTCTTCATGTTCTGCCTAGTTCTATCCCAACCTGATAACAGTATTTTATTTTGAACAGTGCAAAGAAAAAGAAGATGGCTGACAAAATTCTACCTCAAAGGGTGAGTCCAGTCTGTAGGTCTTCTTGAGGGGATGATGAGTTTGAGAATAGAGATGGTCAGCTCTATTTTCCCATATCTTTCTGTTCCTAAGATTCGTGAACTGGTGCCAGAATCCCAGGCCTATATGGATCTCTTGGCTTTTGAAAGGAAACTGGACCAGACTATCATGAGGAAACGGCTAGATATACAGGAGGCCTTGAAACGTCCCATCAAGGTAACACAGGAGCATGCTAGGCAGAGAGCCAAAGGAGAGTACTTGGGAACCTTCAACGGGCTCAGCATGAGAAATCAAAGACGCAGCATAGTACTCATTGGCATTTAAATTACATCTTTCCTTTTCGCCTTCAAACTGAGAATCACATTAGAAGCATAAAAACAGAAGGGGAGGGGCTTTTGATATCTTATACCAGAAATATACTCTGCCTGTGGGGTTTCGTTTTTTTAAGATTTTATATATTTATTTTTAGAGAGGGGAAGGGAGGGAGGAGAGGGAGAGAAACGTTGTGAGAGAGAAACATCTATTGGTTGCCTCTCATACTCTCCCAACTGGGGACTTGGCCCACAACCCAAACTGGTGACCTTTTGGTTTGCAGAATGACACCCCATCCACTGAGTCACACTAGTCAGGGCTATCCTGCCCGTCTTTTTGCTACTGTTCTGGCACCTTGCATGACTTTGTTCACCTGGCATTTTAGTCTATACACTTGCACTCAGGCCAGTGGCCTGTATTTCTAGATGGAATCTCCATCTACCCACACTAGGGACTGGGTGGACAGTCTGCTAGGAATAATTTTGGGACTTGGGGAGATCCTATCTTCAGCATCAAACCACTGGAGTCCCATCACTAATCCTGTTTCTGCCTTTCTCAGCAAAAACGGAAGCTGCGAATTTTCATTTCTAACACTTTCAATCCGGCTAAGTCAGATGCCGAGGATGGGGAAGGGACGGTGGCTTCCTGGGAGCTTCGGGTAGAAGGACGGCTCCTGGAGGATGTAAGTTCAAGGTCAACCATGGTCGGTGTTTAGGGTGGGAGCTGCTGGGAACAAGCAGTGTTGCCTGCTTGGCAGGAAGCCTGACTAGTGTTCACAGCTCCTGTTGGGAACAGCAGGGAAAGGGTCACTGTGTTCCCTGTGCTGAAAGACAATGGTTCTTTGTGTTGACTCCCACAGTTTGGCCCTTGCTGTGGTATCATATCGTGAACCGTATTGTCCTGGGATTACATTTGTTATTTACCTTCCTCCTGATGCTGCTGGCCATTGAATATAGCAGTATGTGCAAATTATTCTGTTGGGTGTACATATGTATGTTTTCAAGTGAGTTTACAGTTAGCATTTGAGGCCATGCTTTCCCCTCTGAGTTCTTGAGGTCCTTTATTCCCACTGTGGCATCTCCAGCTTCCCAACTTTCATTGGACACATCTCACAGTTTAAGTGGAATAGATTTATCTGACAGGCTGTCAGTTGCTTCATGGGGAGCATCAGGTGACAGGTGATAGCCCCCAGATTTCTGACCCCAGAAGCTCCTTGGGGAAGCTCCTTTTTCCCTTGCATTCTCTGGCTGTCTGTTTTTAGCTGTTCACAGGCAAGCTAATGTGAATGTGCTTCTGCAGCAGAACCAGGGCCCAGTATCAGAGCCTCCTCTAAATAGGTCCAGTCTATGTGCTGGTGGTATCATTCTATCCAAATTCTATCTGTTTTTGTTCTGGCTGCTTGTTGCCTGTGATTCATTTCTACTCTGGAGTCAGAATTTTCTCTGTTTAGACTCACTTTGTTATGTGCAGTGGTTTGGCTTAACTTGCTTCATTTCCCTTGGGGAAATGAGGTAGGTGAGGCAGTGACCCTATACATGTTATAGTCTGCTTCTTCAGGGTTCTGTTCCTGCTGTGACTTGTTTAATACCCACACATGACTACCTTGCCATTTCCTAAGAGGGACTCAAAAGACATTTTGGAGGTTTTTTCCCATTGCTGTTGAGGGTTCCTTTTTTATGGGACTTTGTCTTGAGAAATTTCTTCTTGGCTTTTTTTAACATGACCTTATTTTTTATTCTCTCCTCTAGTCAGCCTTGTCCAAATATGATGCCACCAAACAAAAGAGGAAATTTTCTTCCTTTTTTAAATCCTTGGTGATTGAACTGGACAAAGACCTGTATGGGCCAGACAACCATCTGGTAGAAGTGAGTAATTTTGCCCTCTAGACTTTGACTCTATGACCGAAGGATGATAGACTTAGGAACCAAACTTCAATGTCTAGCGAAATGAGGGAGGTATAAACAGAGGCTTCCCCCAGGTGTATAGTACCACCGTTGTAGTTTGCACATTGACCTCCAGGTGGCACTAGCTGTTTAGTTCTGGTACTGTTTGGACCCATGAGTTCTTGCAGTCTGACTAGTCCCAACTTTTTTGTTTAAGCAAAATATTTATTTATTTATTTTGAGAGAGGGAGAAAGAGAGAGAAAGATCGATGTGAGAGAGAAGCATCAATCAGTTGCCTTTTGTACACACCCTAGCCAGAGACCAAACGAGCAGCCTAGGCATGTGCCCTGACCAGGAATTGAACCAGCGACCTTTCTGTTTGTGGTGTGATGCCCAACCAACTGAACCACACCAGTCAGGGCTTGACCCACCTTTTTAATGTTATCGTGGTTGCTGAGGCCTCTTATGCATGCCAGGCCATCTCTGCATCT